GGGGGAGATGGAGTTTCACTCTTATTGCCCAAGCTAGAGTGTAATAGTGCGATCTTGGCTCACTGCAACCTCTGCCTCCCGAGTTCAAGCGGTCCTGCCTCAGCCTCCCAAGTAGCTGTGATTACAGGCATGGGCCACCACACCTGGCTAATTTCTTGTATTTTTACTAGAGACAGGGCTTTACTGTGTTAGTCAGCCTGGTCTTGAACTCCTGACGTCGGGTAATCCACCCGCCCCGACCTCCCAGAGTGCTGGGATTACAGATGCGAGCCACTGCAGCTGGCCGAGAAATCTAATTGATATTTTTAGTATGAATATTAATTTTTGTTCTTCAGCTTCTATATTATAATTTTAAAAACTTTTTGAAAATGTTGGTCAGGCCGGGCATGGTGGCTCATGCCTGTAATTGCAGCACTCTGGGACCCTGAGGCAGGCAGATCACCTGAGATCAGGAGTTCAAGACCAGCCTGGTCAACATGGTAAAACTCCATCTGTACTGAAAATACAAAATTTAGCTGGGCATGGTGGCAGGCGCCAGGAATCCCAGCTACTCTGGAGGCTGAGGCAGGAAAATGGCTTGAACCCAGGAGGCGGAGTGTGCGGTGAGCTAAGGTCATGCCACTGCCCTCTAGCCTAGGTGACAGAGTGAGACTCCTTCTCCCAAAAAGAAAAAAAAAAAAGTTGATCAGAGTAGGATTGGATGTAAGCTTTTTTACTCTGGAGGAGTCTAAATTGGTACAGTAGAGCACCCACCCACCCTCCCCCCACAATCCTGCGTTCTCATGGTCTGCAAATAGGTGGATATACTACAAAAGATAATTTTTTTTATTTTTGTTTTTTGAGACAGAGTCTTGCTCTGTTGCCCAGGCTGGAGTGCAATGGAGTGATCTCAACTCACTGCAACCTCTTCTTCCTGGGTTTGCAACCTCAGCCTCCTAAGTAGCTGGGACTACAGGTGTATGCCGCCACGCCCAGCTAATTTTTTTGTATTTTTAATAGAGACAAGATTTCACCATGTTGGCCAGGCTGGTCTCGAACTCCTGGCCTCAAGTGATCTGCCCACCTCAGCTTCCCAAAGTGCTGGGATTACAGGCATGAGCCACTGCACCCAGCTACAATAAGATATTTTAAAGTAGGACACAGAGGCTCATGGTTCAATTGCAGTACTTGGTGAGGCTGAGGCAGGAGGATTGCTTTAAGCCACATGTTTGAGACCAGCCTTAGCAATAAAGTTAGACACCATCTCTAAAAAAAAATTTTTTTTTTAAATTAGCTAAGTATGGTGGTACGTCCTTGTAGTCCTAGCTACTTGGGGGATTGAGGTGGGAGGATCACTTGAACCTAGGAGATTGAGGCTGCAGTGAACTGTGATTGCATTATTGCACTCCAGCCTGAGTGACAGAGTTGAGACCTTGTCTCAAAAAAAAAAGACCACATTTACAAAACTTTTATTATTGTATATTGTTATAACTGTTCTATTTTATTATTAGATATTGTTGTTAATTTCTTGCTATGCCTAAGTTATAAATTAAGTTATAAGTTATAAATTAAACTTTTTGATAGCTATGTATGTATAGGAAAAAACAGCATATAATTAGGGTTCGGTAAAGTTGACTGTAACCTCCGCCTCATGAACTTGAGCTCAGGATCCTGGGTTCAAGCAGTCTTCCCCACTCAGCCTCCTGAGTAGCTGGAACTTAAAGTGCATGCTACCACACTCAGCTAATGGTTTAAATTTTTTATAGAGACAGGATCTCACTGTGTTGCCCAGACTAGTCTTGAACCCCTGGTCTCAAGGGATCCTCCTGCCTTGGCTTCCCAAAGTGCTAGGGTTACAGGCATGAGCTGTGTACACAAATTATTAGAATTATTAAGAGTTCAGCAAATTTTCTGCATGCTAAGGTTAATACACAAAAATCAGTTGCATTTCTGTCACCAGCCATTAACTATTAAAATATAGAATTAATAAAAGATACTAAGGCAGTTAAACTCAGCGTGACTTAACAAGATGTTTTAAATTTAAGAAATAAATGTGGCTGGGTGCAGAGGCTCATACCTGTAATCCCAGCACTTTGGGAGGCTGAGGCAGGTGGATCACTTGAGGTCAGGAGTTCGATACCAGCCTGGCCAACGTGGTAAAACTCCATCTCTACTAAAAATATAAAATATTAGCCATGTGTGGTGGCACGCAACTGTAATCCCAGCTACTCGGGAGGCTGAGGTAGGAGAATCGCTTGAACCCGGGAGACGGAGGTTGCAGTGAGCCGAGATTGTGCCACTGCACTCCAGCCTGGATGACAGAGCGGGACTCTGTCTCAAAAAAAAAAAAAAAATAAATATTTGGATTTCTTTTTTTTTTTTTTTTTTTTACTGCATTTTAAGTTCTGGGGTACATGTGAAGAACATGCAAGATTGTTGCATAGGTACACAGTGTGATTTGCTGTCTTCCTCCCCTTCACCTATATCTGGCATTTCTCCCCATGCTATCTCTCCCCACCCCCCTCATCCCTCCCCCATTTCCCCCCAACAGACCCAGTGTGTAGTGCTAAATATTTGGATTTCTAAATACCAAAAAAAAAAAAAAAAAGGAAAGAGAAGACATGAATGGCTGGTAAATATTACATGACAAGATGTTTAGCCTTATTAGTATCGGGGAAAGCAAACTAAAACCTCAGTGAAGGGTGACGTCAGCGAAAATGGCAGAGTAGGGACTTCTGGGGGTCATCCCTCCATAGAAACACCAAACAAGTTGACAAAAAAAGTCAGAATGAAGCTTATCAGAACTCTGGAAAGATAGTCAAAGGTTTACAGCAGCCAAGCAAATATTTAGCCAGAAGAAAGGGCACTGAAACAAGATAGGAGATCTTTGTAGCATTTTAACTTACCCTAGCCTCACCTCCCTTCCTGGTAAGGCTGCAGTCTTGAAGATGACAGCCTGTGTTCCCCCATGTTGGTGCCTGATTCCAGAGAGAGCAGAGTGGACCCTCTTCCTTCTAAAGGATTGTGTTTGTCTGTTTTGTCCTTTTCCCAAAGGACTGCCACCTGGGGGAAAAAAATTAACAGGGCAAACAATAAGATGTTGGAAGCCTGAGAGGAAAAGCTGTAGAGTGAGTTTTTGTGGAGGAATAGGGGCTTTGAAAAGCTATTGTGATGGGAAACCTAGAAAACCAAGTGCAAGGCTCAGGGCAGTATGCATACTCAGAAAAGACTCAAAAAGGCCATTAGCTTTCACCCCTGGCTTGTCTTTAGGGTCAACATAAGCAGGAAGTGAATGTTAAGGCAGATTTATAAAGGTCCTGGCTAAGTTTTGAAGGAGTGCCCCCAACAGCTAATCAGCAAAGACCTGGGGAGCATTCTGCTTTTCTTTTTCTTTTTCTTTTTTCTTTTTTTCCAGTTTATTTGTTTTGGAATGTGGTCTTGCTGTGTTGCTTAGGCTAATATTGAACTTGTAGGTGCAAGCGACCCTCCCACCTCAGCTTCCTGAGTAGCCGGGATTGCCGGCACGTACCACTGCACCCATCTCGTTTTGTTTTGTTTTGTTTGTTTGTTTATGGAGATGGAGTTTGGCTCTTATTGCCCAGACTGAAGTGCAGCAGCCTCTGCTGCCTGGGTTCAAGTGATTCTCCTGCCTCAGCCTCCTGAGTAGCTGGGATTACAGATATGCCCCACCATGCCCGGCTGATTTTTTTATTGTATTAGAGTTAGGGTTTTACCATGTTAGTCAGGATGGTCTTGAACTCCTGACCTCAGGTGATCCTCCCAAAGTGTTGGGATTACAGGTGTGTGCCACTATGCCCAGCCATGTTCAGTTTTCAACAAAAAATTGTGAAGCATGTGAAGAAACTAGAAAATATACCTCATTCACAAGAAAAAATAAATGAACAGAAACTACCATGAGGAAGCACTAATATTGGAATTACTAGACAAAAACTTTAAATCAGCTGTCTTAAGTATACTCAAAGATCTGAAGGACACCAAGGACAAAGAACTTAAAGGAATTCAAGATGATAATGTCTCAACAAATAGAGAATAGTAATAAAGAAATAGCAGTTTTTAAAAGGAAGCAAATATAAATTTTAGAGCTGAAGATTATAATAAGTGAAATGAAAAATTCACTAGTGGAGTTCAACAAAAGATATGAGCAGACAGAAGAATTTGTGAACTTGAAGATAGGTCCATTGAAATTAGACAGTTTGAGGAACACAAAAGATTGAAGAAGGCCGGGTGTGGTGGCTCACGCCTTTAATCCCAGCACTTTGGGAGGCCAGATCATGAGGTCAAGAGATCGAGACCATCCTGGCCAACATGGTGAAACGTCGTCTCTACTAAAAAAATACAAAAATTAGCTGGTCATGGTGGTGTGCGCCGGTAGTCCCAGCTACTCAGGAGTCTGAGGCAGGAGAATTGTTTGAACCCAGGAGGCGGAGGTTGCAGTGAGCCAAGATCGCGCCACTGCACTCCAGCCTGGCGCCTGGCGACAGAGCAAGACTCTGTCTCAAAAAAAAAAAAAGATTGAAGAAAAATGAACAGAGCCCAAGAGATGTGTGGGACACCAATATATGTATCATGGAAAGGAGAGGGAGAAAGGTACAGAACACGTGCTTAAGAAGTAATTGCCAAAGCCATTTCAAATTTGGCAATACATGAATGTACACATACAAGAAACTCATCTAACACTCAAAAAGGATGAACTCAAAAACATCTATATGAGACATATTATAATTAAAATTTCAGAAGCCAGAGATAAAGAGAATCTTGAAAGAAGCAAGAGAGAAGCAACTTGTTATATATAAGGGATCCTAAATAAGATAAATTTCTGCTGATTTCTTAGTGGAAACCATGGAGGCCAGAAGACCAAAAAGAGAGAAACTCGTATATACCTCTGCAGCAGAAGACACAGTGGCCATTTGTAGTAGCAAAAAACTGTAAACAATCCAGATGTTTATTGATTCATTTTTTTAACATGTGATTTATTTCTGGTCTTTACTAGCTTTGGGGCCATTTGGATCACACGATGATTTTTCAAGATTTTAGACCATTTCTAAGTAGCAGTCCACTGGACCAAGATAATAGAGCCAATGAAAGGGGTCACCAGACTCACACTGACTTCTGGGGAGCAAGGCCTCCACGGCTGCCAGTGGGTCGGAGATACAGATCTCGAGGAAGTACTCGTCCTGACAGATCTCCAGCTATTGAAGGGTGAGTTGTTGTTTAAGTTATTTTTAAGGTAGTTTCAGTGAAGGACAAATTGGTGTAATCTAATCTTTATAAGGTTCTCATACCTACTACTTTGTGGACAAGATGGACATAGAAAGGATGAAAGCGAAGCTAAATTGAATGTTAGTACTCACCCAGTGATAATCTAGAGCGTGAAAAATGTTACAGGTCTGTGGTTAACGTTTTTATTAATGTCTGAGATTAATATATAGATGATACGTGCCTTAGTCCATTTTGTGTAGCTATAACAGAATACCTGAGACTGGGTGATTTATAAAAAACAGAGATTCATTTCTTATATTTCTGAAGTCTGGGAAGTCCAAGGTTGAGGGATCCACATCTGGCGAGGGCCTTCTTGCTGTATCATTCCACGTTGGAAGGCAAAAGGGCAAGAGAGCATGCATGAGCAGAAAGAAAGGTGCCAAAATCATCCTTTTATTAGGAACTCACTCCACAGTAACTAATCTGCTTCCAAGATAAAGTCATTGATCCACTCATGGGGGATTCATTTCTTAAAGTGCCCACTTTTCAACACTGCTGTGTTGGGGATTAAGTTTCCAACATATGAATTTTTGAGGAAGGTACATTCAAACTATAGCAGCATATTTATCAAAATTTCCAAAGGGTATCACATATATTAGAATTAAATATTTCAGCAGATTGGAGCAGTGGACTTAACATGAAATTTAATCAAGTATCTACTTTTTGTGAAGAAAAGAAAAAAAAAGAAATTTAATAGGATAAATATGAAGTCTTATGACTGTAAAAACATTCATGTAATGAGTGTCTTTTTTTGTGTGGGGCACTGTCCTGGGCACTGGGAACACAGTGGTGAGTCAAATAGATGGTTTTGCTCATGGATCTCATTTAGTTGGAATAATAAATGTTAATTTTAAGTATTTGCCATATGTATAGGACTGCGCTTCATGCTTTATCTGCTTTATGTTGTTTAATTTGTGTGAAGTAATAGGTGCTATTGCTGTTTTCATTTTATAAAATAATAAACTGAGTCTCAGAGAAATAAAGTAACAGCCACTGGTGGATCCAAGACTTGAATCCAGGGCTATGTGAATCTAGTGTGGCATTGTCTCATACAGCAGCTGCTAGCCACATGTAGCTATGTCAATTTAAATTTAAATTAACCAAAAGTTAATGAAACTAAAAATTCAAAGTACCTTAGTCCCACTAGCTATATTTTGAGTACTCATTGGCCACTTGTAGCTAATAGTTACCATATTTGACAGAACATATTAGAGAAAATTTCCATTATCTTAGAAAGTTCTATTGAACAGTGGTATTCTGGAGCCTACACTCTCCCTCTCCCCCAACACACACCTTCTAGACTTTAATGTTTTACTGTACTTGCTTTATTACTTACCTATTCATCTAACTATTAGTTCATCTTGTTTTGTGCATTTCAAAGTTAGTTGCAGACATCCCTTCATAGAACAAATATAGGATATGGGAAATCTGATTTAATGAGATTGTCTAGGACAAAAATCAGTGAAATCTTAGATTAATAGCTTATGGCACCCAGAGTTAAAGCTACTATATCCTGGCCAAGTGCAGTGGCTCATGTCTAATCCCAGCACTGTGGGAGGCCAAGGCGGGCGGATCACAAGGTCAGGAGATTGAGACCATCCTGGTTAACATGGTGAAACCTCGACTCTACTAAAAGTACAAAAATTAGTTGGACATGGTGGCGTGCACCTGTAGTCAGCTACTCAGGAGGCTGAGGCAGGAGAATTGCTTGAACCCGGAGGCAGTGGTTGCAGCGAGCTGAGATTGCACCATTGCACTCCAGCCTGGTGACAGAGCGAGACTACGTCTAAAAAAAGAAAAAGCTACTATATCCTGTGCCAGTTAAACGGTGTGTAGATCACTTTCCCGTCTCTATCTGTTTGAGATCTCGTTGTTGAATTTCTCAACTACAGTTCATCTAAACTTTTACCTCCTACGCATCTTTTTTTTTTTTCCCATTCCACCCACTCAATGGCCAATTTTGGAGCAGTGCTGTGGTTCCCTTTTTCTTGCTTCTCTACCAGGGGATGGTTCAGCACTGCTGGAGAAAAATCACATAAATGTGCCCAGTGGTGCCCCTGCAGATAGCAAGGTACATTTCATCCCTACCAGACTATTGATGCTTTTGGTTAGGCTTTTGTTTTGCATTTCCTGAACAGATATTTTGAATTTTCACTAAATTTCACTCTTCAAATTTCCTATCCAATAGCTGATGCTCGGAAGTTGATTTGTATTCTCCTTTATGAAAATTGGGGCCTTGGACATGAACTTCCCAAGTCCCTGTGCCCGGCTTCTCTGTATCAACAATCATTTATCACTCCAGCCTCCTGAGATGAGGTGTCCTTTCTTTTTTCAAGGCAAGCTATCAGCCCCTGTTCCTGACCTATTCCTTAGCTGTTTCATCTGGGATTTGTATCATCTATCCCTGCTCTCTTTCCCAGTTAAGGCCCCTTGGGCACTGTTTTACTCTTTAGCTCTCTGTTTTTCAATCCTGGCTATACATTAGTGTCACTGAGGATATCTTTTTAAAAACTGATACCTGGGCTCCGTCCCCAGGGATTGTGGTTTTATTAGTCTGGATGATTCCAGGCATTGGTAGTTTTTAAAAGCTTCTAGAGTTATTATAGCCAGAATTGAGAATCACTGTTCTAGTTACTGCCTAGTAATCTTTTTCCTTTCCTTTTCAATAAATTTTTTTTTTCAATAAAATTTCTTAAGAGGTGTCTGTGTTTACTTTTTTATCTTTCATTAGTCTTCTACCTACTGTAGTCTGGCCATCCTTTCACTAAAATCTCTGGTGACCTTCTATTTATAATTGCATATCAGTGGATACTTTAAAATTCTTATTGTATAGATCTAGAACCTTTTTGATCTTTTTTCTTCCCCCTTGAATTACCATTTTTTCCTTCTTCTTCTTTATTTATTTTGCAATAGGGTCTTGCTCTGTTGCGCAGGCTGCAATAGGGTGGCATGATCATACCTCAAAGAGCCTCAACCTTCTGGGCTCACACAGTCCTCTTGCCTTAGCCTCCCAAGGAGCTGGGATTAGAGGCATGCACCACCATGCCTGTAATCCTTCACCAGTTTTTAAATTTTTTTGTAGAGATGAGGTCTTACTAGTTTCCCAGGCTGATCTCAAACTTCTGGGAGGATTGCTTGAGTCCAGGAGTTTAAGATCACCCTGGCCATGGCGAGACCCCATCTTTACAAAAAATAAAAAATCGCCTGGCACGGTGGCTCACGCCTGTAATCCCAGCACTTTGGGAAGCGGAGGTGGGTGGATCAAGGTCAGGAGTTCAACACCAGCCTGGCCAAGATGGTGAAACCTCGTCTCTACTAAAAATATAAAAATTAACTGGGCATGGTAGCAGGCACCTGTAATCCCAGCTACTCAGAAGGCTGAGCCAGGAGAATCGCTTAAACCCGGGAGGTGGAGGTTGCATTGTGCTGAGATTGTGACGGAGCACGACTGTGTCTCAAAAAAAAAAGAAAAAACTAGAATGTATTGGTTCATATAACTCAAATGGTTGCTAGCTATATCAGACCCAATATCTCTGTTTTCATAACAATTATCTTGTAATGCCCTCTACTATCCTAATTTGAAATTCATTGATGATAAAAGCTATAAAACATAATAAAAATACATTTGCATATATATACCATTCTCCAATTAATATAAAGGAAAAATAAAAATAGTATATGCATTTTAATATGTAAATGCCTAGCTGTAAGTATTCTGGGAGACAAAATGAAAAATTAGGTGCTTGTTTCCATGTATAGAACCGTTAAGAAGGTGATAGCTAGGCCGGGCGCGGTGGCTCAAGCCTGTAATCCCAGCACTTTGGGAGGCCGAGGTGGGTGGATCACGAGGTCAAGAGATCGAGACCATCCTGGTCAACATGGTGAAACCCACCCCGTCTCT